TATAATTTCAAACACCCACTTTAAGCAACCTCCAAGAAGATTGTATACGTGGACGTAACCATTACATTCGCTGAATAAGATCGTCCGTAATCAAATAGATTACATACTTATAAACAGAAGATATCGCAACAGTTTAACATCAGTCAAAACCTAGCCAGACGCTGATATTGGTTCTGATCACTATCCGGTTGTTGCATCCCTTCACTGTAATATAAAAATTCTAAAACCTAAATCAAAAAGATAGCAAATTTGACTAGACTTAAAGAACCGGAAGTACGGCGTAAAGCAGCCACGGAAATAAATATGGCTGTTGATCGCTTGAACAAAGAGCTTGGTCCAAATGTTGACGTAGAAGAGACATGGACTAAATTAAAGGAAAATCTTGTTGATATTGGTAAAAGAATCCTTCAACCATTAAACCATGAAGCCAAAAACCGCTGGATCACGCAGGAGATCCTAAACGTAATGGAACATCATAGAACATACAAAGGAGTAGACGATCAACAATACAAATCCATACACAAGGTAATCCAAAGGTAAGTAGGTGAAGCAGAAGAAAAATGGATGGTTGACCAATGTATTGCGATAGAAGAGTGAGGCCAGATATAATTTTTTTAATGTGCATAAGAAAGTTAGAGAAATAACCGGTGCTATTAAAACACGAAACATGAACTGCAACGTATTACTGGATGATCAGGGAAATCCTGCCAAAACAATTGAAGATAAACTTAATATTTGGCAGAAATACATAACAACACTATTCCATGACGTTAGACCTGCTCTGGAACCAATTTCATGTGGAAGTGAATTGAGTGGACCACCTATTAATAAAAGTGAAATTGCTTATACCATTAAGATGTACAAATCAGGCAAATCTGTAGGCAGAGATGAATTACCCGTGGAACTGTTTAAATTACTTGAGCATGCTAACTTGGGAATAATAGTAAAGTTTATTTATTTATTTGTTTTATTGTTTTTGTTTTTATAGTGTAGAGTGACAAACGAGCACACAGTCCACCTCATGGTAAGTGGTTGCTGTAGCCCATAGACATCTACATCTATCCTCAATAAAGACTCAAGATGCAGATGCGTTGTCACCCGTGAGGACTAAGATGGAATGCCTCTTTGCCAGTAAAAACGGTCTCCGGTTCTCTACACTTACCATACGAAACACAGCAGCGTTAAGCTGCTATTTTACGCTGGTTTTCTGTGAGAGCGTGGTCCTGCCCCGGGCGAGCCGACCCATTCGTACTACAACTATACTACTAATATAGCTGCAGCATGGCTCTACCACGTAAAGCATTATTTATTTAAGTACACCAACGATTGTTACAATAATGCAGAAATAGTAATCACACATCCACTTATATACTAATTGTACAACAATTATAAGTAAACCTTATACACCACATGCTTCAAGTTACTAAAAAGTTACCTAGTAAAAAAAAAAACAAAAAGAAAATACAAAAACTTCGAATAGAACAAAATAATATTATGTATATGAAACAATGACTTACACCTAGTTACTTAATTAATGTATCGTTTACTGTGGCCTTAAACTTAGCTGGAGACATAACATTAACATCTATTGACCCTCCGCACTTATTATATAGTTGGCAAATTCTGGAAACCGGTGAATTGGCTCCCAAAACTGTTTTACGAAATGGCCGAGAGAGAGGTTCGATGGGCTTAAGAGGCATTCGTGACAGGACTTTAAAATTAAATTTCATCAGAAGTGCAGGACAATGCAACTGATATCTTATTATCATGAAAAAGAAGGATAGGTCAAGTATATCCCTGCGGTTATCCAAGCTCTGCATTTGTAGGAACTCTAGTAGGTCCTTGTAGAAGCTAAATCTTTTATGCCAGAAGTGCTTTACTAATCGTTTTTGAATGCGTTCAATACGAAGTGTGTGAGTAGCATAATGTGGACGCCAGACCACACTTCCATACTCTAGGATCGATCTAACCAAGCTATTGTGTAGCGCAATTTTTGAGGAATGGCGTTTGAATACTTTACCGCTTCTGATAATAAAACCCAACATCTTGGACGCCCTATCTATGATGTAGTCAATATGTGGGACAAATGTCATTTTACTATCCATAAGTACCCCCAGATCCCTTACTACTCTCCTTTCTCCAAATTGAATCCCATTAATGCTGTAGATGGATGCAATAGGATTCAATTTCCTAATCAATTTAATGTGAACACATTTATTATTATTGAGCTCCATTCCATTCGTCTGACACCATTTCGTCGTCGAGATTAGCGCGTCAAGATCTTTTTGTAAATGCAAATCATCATCTTGTGTTTCAATGATTTTCCACAGTTTTAGGTCATCGGCGAACATCGACGGGGACGAGTATTTTGTGTAATAAGGTATATCGTTTACAAAGATATTGAAGAGAATAGGGTCTAGGTGTGAACCTTGCGGAACACCAGAAGTGATATCTCGTAGGTCTGAGCTAAAACCATTAACGATTACATAGAAAGAACGTCCACTTAGATACGATTCGAACCAAGCTAGAACAGAACCCCCTATTCCGTATGCAGTTTTGCCAGAAATCGTCGATGGACTACTCTATCAAAGGCTTTAGTGAAGTCTGTATATATTGCGTCTACTTGTTTATTGCCATCAATGCGACTTATAATGTCCTCCACATACGTAACCAGATTAGTATTAGTAGACCTACCTTTTATGAAGCCGTGTTGGTTGTCGTTTAAATACTTGACGAAGTAGGCTTGAAGAATAGGGCAGACTAGAGACTCGAATACTTTAGCTAATGAGGACAATATGGAAATAGGCCTGTAGTTGCTTATGTGCTGAGCATCACCTGCCTTATAAATTGGCACCACTTTAGATACCTTCTAAGCTTTGGGAAAAACCCCAGAACTTAATGAGTTATTAAAGATAATAAATAAGGGCTCCACTAGGCATGATGTGCATCGTGAAATGAACAACGATGAAATATTATCACTCCCAGTGCTCTTCGTTGCATCAATATTGACTAATTTTTTATAAATTTGCTTGCGGAAAAGATTTAGAGTTGAAAAACAATCGACTGCTCCCCCCACTGATGTACTAAAAAAATTCTCGTCAGTGTTTATGTTACATGGGACACCAAGATTTGAGGTAGTAGAGAAGAATTAAGATGCAAAGCTGTTGCATATGTCAATACCGTTTTGTATTACCGTATTACCGTTCGTCATCATAGCTGGATATGTTCCAGAGCCACCGCGTTTGGTTTTAATATAAGACCAGAACAGTTTCGGGTTCGTTAAAATTCCATCCTCAATTTTACGAATATATGCGTTGTAGCATTCAGAAGCTAATTTCTTGCAGCGGTCGGTCAGTAGACGATATGATATCCTGTCCATGGGGTTGCTGTATTTATTGTATCTTAGTCTAACCCTATTTTTCTCTCGTAAGCGACTAATCAAGTCCTTACTGAACCAGGGAGGATATTTATTAGTTTTTGGTTTGACAATTGGTACAAATTTATGAATGACTTTGTTAACAACCTCCAACAATAATTCAAGTTTCTTATTAACATCACTGCTCCCATAAAAAAGAGACTTCCAATCAACTTCAGCTAAATAGTCATTAACAGCAACGTAATCTATTTTATGAAAATTAAACCTACTCACAGCATTGGGCTGTAGCTTTGGCCTCTCTAATGGAGAGAGTTCTATAGAAAGAGGTAGATGTAGTGGGTCAATAGGACACAAAATCTTTACGGCCTCACCAACCACGCATGATGACACATTGGCCAAGACCAAATCAAGAGTTCTACCCATACTGTTTGTTATAGAGTTATGTTGTGTTAAATTATTTACATTGATGAAATCTATGAAATACTGGTGCAGTAATGATAAGATATAAGATGAACTCCCGACCAAATTCCAGTCTAAGGTCGGCAAATTAAAGTCTCCAAGTACACAGACATCTGAATTAAAGAGTTCGTAAACATGGTTAAAGTTATCGATAAAATGTTTTAGCATTGACGTTTATACCGGGGGTGGCAGATATGCCGCACACAAAGCTAGTGACTGAGAACCATAAATTACAACCCAAACATCCTCACATTCGCTTTGCCAGTTCTGCATACGCTTCGAATTTAAACGTTTAGAAATTGCAATTAATGCCCCACCCCCCTCTTTGTTCACGTTAAAGCCGAACATTTCTCTGTCCCTTTCGTATACGGCATATCCCTTAATACAATTAAATGAGTCCATAATATCTCTTATAAGCATATAGTCGGAATTATCAGTTTTTCTCATAAAAATACGCCCGGTCCTAACCCACACACTTTTTTTTTACCAATCTTTCTAGCTGCGGCATGAAGCGATTTATTCATAGGGGAGAAGTGATATAATTTCATTATTCATTATTATTAATGATAATAATAATGAATAATGAAAGTGGACGAAGCAAAACAAGTATGTAAGGATCGTAGCAAGTGGAAAGAACTGGTCTCTGCCTACCCCTACGGGAAAGAGGCGTGATTATATGTATGTATGTATGTATGAGAAGTGATCCACAATGAATATTGGAGATTTTTTTCCGTTGAATCCCAGATGCGAGCTATTAAGCATTTATGCATGCATTGCCTTTTTTCGGTTGAAATTGATGGATGCTGCCAAAAACTCATCACGAATCTTTTTATTGGCGAATTGGGCTACAATTGATTTTGGTCGCGTACTATTAGGGTTGATCTTGGCGATACGTGTACAGTTGATAAAATCTTCGCTTTTAACATTACACTTAAGTACAGTACCCAGTTGGGTCACTACTTGCATTAAGTTTTATTTTTTTTTCTCAGGAATGCACTGAATTTCTACTAATTCTAATTCGCGCCGTAAGGTCCTTAACATTGGTCTTTAGAGCACTGTTTTCTTTATGGAGATCAACCATCGCCTGTTTAGTTTCTTTGTGGTCTTTGATCAACAATTCATATTTGGGATTCATGAAGTCCATAGAGCTCCTAATTTCCAGCATCTACTCCTTGACTGATTTTAGTTCAGAACTAATGGAAATGGTTAGGGAATCGATTTTAGATGTAATGTTTTTACAATTCTCCTGCATGATGCCTCTAACTTCAACAGCTGACGCTCCTATTATTGGAGGTGATTGCAGTGCCTGTCTTTTAGAAGCCCGTACCGTGACATTAGGGTTAAATCGCACCGGCGTGTTGTCGTTATGCCCAGTTTTGGGTCGTAGGCTGGTATACAGAGGACATTCCCATGTCGAGAACTCACTAGGTTTTATTATGGAGGGAGAGCTGAGACAGGCCACATGAAACTTTTTTGAGCATTTCTGGCACAGAATGTACTCTTCTGTATCAGGGTTATCACTACAGCATCCCCAATCATTGTTGTCGGTAGACATTATACTATTGTTTATCACTGAGATTTGTAACAGAGTACACTTTACTGCAAAGTTGCTGAATGCAAATTGGTAGGCGTTAGTCGTACTTACACTATAATTTTATTTTTTCAAAAATAAATTTTATACAATGTCCGATACTACCAACAAGGTGAATTAAAAGAATTGAAAAACTTTTTTTTATGTCAGAAAAAAAAAACAACTAAAAAAGTAAATCTCTGAGGTTTGAACCTGAGTTTAGCAATTCGTCTTTAGAGGCAAAAGCCGAGAAGACGCATACTCGTTGTTGTTGTTTACATAAATCGTTTATTTGTGTACAAAAATCACCGACTTTTATAATTACCCGCAGATTTAGTAATGTTGAGATAGTTTTTACAAGATTACCTCACGATACTAGAACTGTTATGCAAGATTTTTCACAATGAAACAGGTCACAAGTTCACGCACAAAACAGTATTTGCCACATAGCAAATATTGAAGATTTTGCACTTGTATTAACGACTTTTAGGGGAAGCTAAATAGATAAGTGTTTACTAAGCAACTACTTAGTACGCGAGGCAATTTATTCAACACTATATATGATTCGGGTGTCATACCATCGGATTGGCTCAAATCCACCTTTGTCACCTTGCCCAAAGTTGCTTCTGCGAAGAAATGCAGCGATTATAGAACAATCTCCTTAATGAGTCATATCCTAAAATTATTCCTTAAAGTAATTCATAAAAGTAAGAAATTGAAATGGGGTGAAACTGAGTCTTGTAGATACGACCATTTTTCTTGGAATCACATTAGATGCCAAGGTTCAAAGGAGACCCATATATCAGAATTAGCAAGCAGACTTAGTTCTGCAGCATATGCTATAAAAAAAATTAGAAGTCTTACCAGTTTTGAAACAGCAAGACTAGTTTACTTTAGCTATTTCCGTAGCATAATGTCGTATGGTATTTTGCTATGGGGACACGCAGCTGACACTGATATTATTATATTTGTTTTACAGAACAGCGCCATAAGAGCAATTTATGATTTAAAGACTAGAGAGTCGCTGCGAGAAAAATTTAAGGAAATTTATATAATATTAACTTTAGCCTCTCAATGCATTTATGAAAATGTAATGCTTAAACACAATAATCAAAATTAGTTTTACTAAAATAAGTAATATTCATTCTGTAAATACTAGGAACAGACACAAGCTAGTAGTACCAGTTACTCGATTCCATCGAGTCAGTAATTTATTCTTTTTGCTTTTACAACAAAATTACAGAAAACATACAAAATTTCACCTGCTCAAAGTTCAAAAACTTTATTAAACTAAGTTTTTATAAAAAGGGTTATTATAATATTAAAGAGTTTATGGATGATAATAACCCCCGGAAATGAGGTGATCGCTACCAAGCTATTTCTAATTTTTGTGTTGTTAATTTGTGTAAGCTGTTATTTAAAAAATAAAGTCCCGCTGGGTTTCTTGCTGGTTCTTCCCAGGACAGAGGTATTTTTTTCGAACCAGTGGTATTTGAACAGAAGAGTGATTTCAAGTTTCTATCAGAACGCGTATTTCTATTCAACTTTCGATAATCTACACACAAATGATCACTATTATCTTTCTTTTTTTACCAACAAAGTGGTACATGCAAAGGGTGAAGAGCTTTTTCGGATAATATTTGCGTTTAGAAATTCTATAACTCTGAAAGAGATTGTCTATAAGGTCGTCTATGAGCTATTTTGCTTGGATTAATTAGTTCAATTTTTAACTCGCCAGTGATAACCTGCGTGGTTGGGAGCTGGTTGATAAAATGGTTGCAATACTTATTTAAAATACTGATAAGATTTTCTTTATCCGAGCCTGTTAAATCAGTATCAATAGATTGTAATCCATTATTCATCTTTTTACAGAAATTACATAATTTGGGCTTGAAAAAATGTATAGAGCTACTGTTCGCGCCAAACGTTAATTTCGGGAATTGGCGCCAAGGGGCGGTTGGCGTGAAGATTTCCTGCCGTTTGGCGTTCGCGCGATATGATTGGTTGCGGGCGCGCGTCGGAAGATTCTTTGCGGCGCGGGACTAGAACGATGTGATCGTCCAGTATAACCTCCATATAGTGTCGTTTTTTGTTAGCAAATTTATGCAACCACGAGGTGTTTTGATATTCTAGAATTGAGTAATTGCGCGCGTCTAATTACTATCGAAGATTTGTGTATCTAATATCGCCTCTAATTGGTTTGTCGAATTTGTACGGTAGTGACAAGAGGCTTGTGTGGAATTTGACTGATTAAAGTAATTTCGTTGAAAGTAATTGCGCTAATTATATAGTGATTGCGTGTTGAAGTGCATTTTGCAATATTTAATTTACTTGAGTGGCCTGTTAATATCAGTAGATGTGAATCCACAACATATTGAACACTTATATTAGCACTAAGATCGCGGATGACATTTTCTTCTTTCTCGTTAAGTTCGCAAATGCTGATTTTAATCAGACGATGACCTCGTTTATCTTTATCTCGGCGGATAATGTATGATGATGATGATGATGATTCTTGAGAACGGTTTCTCTTCCTGTAACATTTCTTTGATTTCGATTGCCGCTCTTCATTAATAGCTATTCTATTTGGTGGTAAATCGTAAAGCCACTCCTTTCGGTTGTAATAATTTAGTGTAAAGGACATTGCTCTGCGCCCATACATTGTTCGCCCTGGATCCAAGAGCATCGGAAAATTATGTATTTTATTGTTGATCATTAGTAAATTTCATTAAACAATTAAAATTTCAATAATCGATTACAATCGATTGGGCATCCCTAATCATTTTTCGACACCACATGATGTTTGGCGAAGATGGCGGCGGTTAATGTTATTAGTCGAATATAATACTTTTTAATGTCCATTTTTGCATGCAGCTAGTCCGTGTTATAAAAGTATTTGCAACTAATATAATAAAATAGAAAATTAATTATCGTGTATGTCCGATGCTTTTATTACATAGGGCGGTTTTGGACATTGTCCTTTATCCACATCCTGTGCATAGTAATACGGATTAGTGATAGGATTAGAATCATTCTATTCCCCAGTGTTGGCCATGATTTGTAATTAACAAAAACAGGTATGAAGTCAAAAATAGGTTCTGGCGGCTGAATTTCTAAATAGTAAAAAAAAATGATTAAACTCACCAATATAGATGATATTTGATGAGCGTTGTAATCAACGTGCACTCGCTATGAGAATAAAACAATAATGAAACAATTGAGGGAAAGTGGGAGACGCTCTTCAATCCAGGTAAGACAAATCGTTGTATTTAGTTAGCGGATGGCTGCAAATTAATTAATATCTTTATTATAATGGATTTAAGATGTTAGGTTTTCGGGTCTTAGGTTTTTTTTATTCGTTACGGAATTTCTTGATTCGGTCGCCGTGCTCAAAGCCCTCGATAAAAGCTATGCAATAGCTTAAAACGTTTATTAGCACTAACCACAATGAAATTAGGCTAAACAAGTTGTATTATTAGAAATTATTCATATAGATGCGGCAATACCAGCAGTATCTCGCAAACACTCTGAATATAATTGCTGTGTAGTGGCGGTTAAGAATATCCATTACCCCATATCTTCCCGTGGGTGTCGTAAAAGGCGACAAAGGGAAAAGGGCAGGGGATGCGCAGAAGCATCTTCCTGGTAACGGCAAAAATACAATAAAAAACTGCGGTTGCCAACCCGCTCGCCAAGCGTGGCAACTATGGCAATATACCCCCCATGATGAAAGTTACGAAGAGACGGCCCCCAGTCCCCGGCGGCCCCGCTATTCCTGGCTACGGTGGCGACCATGGTAACGGCGGGGCAGGGAGTGCTAAGAATCTCCGGTGGAGGTTCGGTTGCCACCTACGACGACTCGACCTGGCAACATACAACGCACGCACCCTGAGGACTGAAGAGAAGATTGTGGAGCTGGAAGAAGAGATAGACAAGTTACGCTGGCATATTATAGGATTATCCGAAGTCCGAAGAGAGGGGGAGGACACGGTAATCCTCGAATCCGGCAACTTGCTCTATTACCGGGAGGGCGAACATCTGTCCCAAGGAGGTGTCGGATTTATCGTCCACAAGTCTCTCGTTAACAACGTTGTAAAGATTGAGAGTGTGTCGACGAGGGTTGCGTACCTTATACTCAGAATCACCAAACGGTATTCGCTGAAGGTCATACAGGTTTACGCACCAACCTCGGCACACCCCGACAAGGAGGTAGAGGAAATGTATGAGGATATCTCTAGAGCCATGCATTCCTCCAAAACCCAATATACGGTGTTAATGGGAGACTTCAATGCAAAACTAGACACAAGAGAGAACGGTGAGCTGAAAGTAGGGAAATTTGGAATAGGGCAACGGAACCAAAGGGGCCAGCAGCTGGCCGACTTCGTGGAGAAAGAGGGACACTTTATGATGAACTCTTTCTTCCAGAAGCGGCCCCACAGAAAGTGGACCTGGTCGAGCCCCGACGGTTCGACAAAAAATGACATTGACTTCATTATGACGACCAGACTACAACTGTTCAGTGATGTCTCAGTGATCGCGAGGGTGAAAACCGGCAGCGATCACCGAATGGTTAGAGGCACACTGAACCTAAAGGTTCAGTATGCCTCTAGTTCTAGGAGAGTTCTCGTCTAATGAAGTCAACGCTCCGTCCCCCTCGTGCTCTGATCCAAGGTCCCAAAACCTTTCAGCTCGAGTTACAAAACCGTTTTCAGTGCCTAGAAGACTGCAAAGAAGTGGACGATTTGAATGACAAGCTCGTGGAAACTGTCCATGCGGTCGGAGCTAAGTTCTGCAAGACCCGCCGTAAAAGAACACAAAAACTCAACGATCACACTCTTAATCTTATGGCTGTTAGACGGGAGATGAAGCTATATTCTTCAACAGATTTGACAGCATACATGCAACTGAACAGACAGATCTCCAAATGCATGCGGCGGGACTTACGCAATTTCAATACAGCTCGTATTGAGGAAGCGATCGAGCGG